AGGCAAATCCGCGAGCTTGCAGCATAGGCTAGCACAGGGGCATGTGGGTGTGCACGAGAAAAAACGAGCTCTCGAGCTCGGGCTTAGACTCGTGAGCGCGCGGCGATTGCATGAAGGACTCGCGACGCCGCGGAACTTGGGACGGGCTCGCGAGTGCGCTGGGCGACGGAGGCGAGAAGCTCTCGATGTCGCAGAAATCTCCACGAGCTCGCGAGTGAGCGGGCACGGGGGCACGAGGGGCAACAGATGCGGTATTCTCGATCTCGCGCGCGGCGTGCTGTGGCGTGCGGGCAATACGGTGCGCAGCTACGCGGGCGTGCGGGCATGTGAATCTGACTCGACTGAGGCTCGAAACACTTGGTTTGAAATGGTTCGTGCGAATGACTCGACTTGGCTCGGAATTGACTTTGGAACACTCGTCTCAACTCTCTTCATGCATCCTTGAAATAAACCTGAAATTTTACCATAAAACACGGGCCAAGTACGCCAAAATACAAAATAAAAGAGAAAATATAAAATCACAAAAAATGCGATAAAATGGATCGGTCGACTCAAGAACGAACCTAAAACTGACTCAATAACACACATAAACACATAAAAATAAGCACAAAAACATAAAAAAACATCCCACTCTTTCTTACCTTCCTTCATCAAATCACTCACCACTCTCAGTCTGTCCCTATCCTCAGGGAATTGGCACTTGGTTTTAAAAGGAAATCTAGGAACCCAAGGTGAATCCCAGATATAAATACTAGAGCCATCCCCTACCCTAAATCTACTACCCAATGCTAGGAGAAAAGTTGGCAAAAGTGAAGTTACTTGGAAGAGAATTCTTTGGCGGGAGTTGTAAGCATTGAGGATACTTGGGAGTCATTACGCATACATAGGAATTTTTTGCAAGAGGAAAAAAAAAAAGAAACACCACGTACAGTCAGAGAGAACACGCAGAGACTAGAGAGAAAGAGACTACACACACGGAGGGAAGCCGCACGCGCACACGAGAAAGATATTTTTATCTTCTCTCTTTTCTCCTTTATTTATTTTCGTCAATATGTTAGGTTAATATTTTTATCCAGTTTTAGGGGACGTTTGAACCTTAATTTTGATTTGTCTATGAATTTAAGGATTTGAATTTATTGTTGATTAATCTAGACGTCGTATTTATTTATGTTGATGAGTTAATTCATGTTATCTGTTTATAATGTTTAATCTGTAATTGTTATTGTCTTGTTTCGTTAGTAGTAAACTAGGGGTCGCGCATCTCTAGGGTAGATGGAATTTAAGTTAAATGGTCCGAACTTTTGCGTCCATTGCTTAGACTGATCTATTTTCCTAAATATTAATGCTGCTAGTCAATTAAATCTAGATAGCTTATTCTAGGTTGTCCGCTAGTTAAGTTTGATTTCGATTAAATAATTGGTAAGGGAAAATTTGGTTAACAGTTTGTTGTTAGCTAGGGTTGGTAATTCATTAGCAATTTAAAGAAAGCATCGAAATTGATTAACAGTAAATTTAGATTGGGTGATAACTGAGCTGAAAATTGGACTCTATTATTTTATTTGATTTTTATTTTATTTTATTTTTCACTAAACCAATCCCCCACCTTTATTGTTTTCTTAGTTTAATTCAATTAAAACGAAATTATCACAATTTAGTTCCTACTCCTCGTGGGATCGACCCTTAGCCGTCGCTGCTACTAGTTAGTAAAGGTCAGTCAAGGTAATTTACAAATTTAAAGTTGTCGTGTAACGACGCGCGGTCATGCACCTCTTTCATATTTCAGATAGGTCTCGACATAGTTGTTAGATATTCGACATTTGCTTAAATTACTCATTACAAACAACTTCGAACATAAAATGTTGAACTTGACACCTCAAATAATGTGTTTTCTTTTTTCACTAAAGTCTGCAGGATAATACTAAAAATCATAACTACTTGCTAATATAAATCTACACCTCACAAATTATAAGAATTGAAGTAGTTTATTAAAATGACTAGTTTTCTAAATATGATAATATACTAAGTAATAAAAACTAAAGAATAAATATATTTTAAAATTTTCACCTGAAGAAAGGAATTTGGGCGGATGGGTGGATGGGGCAGGGATTTCAAACTTTCCAGTGTTGCAGAATGGTAAATGGTACACAATTACAACTTGTAAATTAAAAATGACGGCGAATCCCTCTGTGTAATTTAATTGTTAGTTAATTATAATATTTATTTGAGGTTTTACTTTTCTGTCTTTTAATTGGGCTATCTATTTTATTTATTGTTGGGCCGGTGGGCTAGTTTTATATTTATTGAAATTGAGTCCGAGCTAAACTATAAAGGGGAATTTATATTTATACTGTATGAAAGTAAAATATTTGTAAACATACGAAGTTAAATAATCTTATTGCATCCTCACCAAATAAATGTCATTTAATTGTACGAGTGCCACGACTTTCAGTTACCAAAATTGAACTGCACATCCTTGATTTGCGCTAGACTTGGATTTATCAATTTCTGTGAACATATATATATAAATAAATGGTAAGTCAATATAACCTACAAAATAGGAGGTTGTTCATTAAAAAACAGAAAAATAATGAATCTATTATAATTTTTTCTTTTTGATGAACTTTTTTTTTACTAAGATATAGATTAACTAAAGCTGAAAAAACACGTAATTTTTTACTTGTCGACCTATATTTTGTTTATTTTTTTTTAACGCATTGTTTTGATACCGTATATGAAACGTATATGTTCTGTTTTGTTGATATTTTAAAAATTAGTGGCATTCTATAAGAATATATACAAGATGTAAACATCACATATACAGTCTTGAAAACATCTCAGTATATATTTTGTGCACATATACATAACATAATCGTGTTATATACTACCTACAAAATAGGAAGTTGTTCGATGACATTACTTAAAATACACGATCAGACTTATATACAGAAAATATACACATTATATACAGACGAGATAGATAAAATACACAACAAATATACATTAAATAAATTAATTTTGTCATTACATACAGAATATATACAGAAGATATACAGAAAACACATTAGACTGTTAGTTGTGCTTACAACAATATATATTGTATATATACACAACATACCCCACAACACAATAAAATCAAACGAAAAATCTCTAATAAAATTGGAGTTGTCCCAAGGCGGCGACTCAACGTTGTAATCTTCGATCCGCCGTCGTTACCCGCCATGTTTTGCTAGTAAGGACTAAAGTTGGGATCCGACTCTTACCCGGTCATGACCTTCTCAGCCGCCACCCGCCACCACCACATCTTCAGCCGACAAGTAGTGGTTCTCCGGTCGCGCCGCTCGTCGGAAATCTGGTGGCTCAAGGTCATGGCTTAGTGCTCGTGGTCGGACAACGTGGTTGCCGTGAAATTGGAGTTTTGATCGTTGATGGTGGCTCGCCGCCGGATGCTTGGGGCTGATTTATGGTGGCGATTTGCAGAGTTCAGAAAATTCCCAACCGAGGGTAGCGGTTGGTTTAAAGATGAAAAAAAAAAAATGTTGCTTGGGAAAGATGAGATCGATTTCCATGGTGGAAGAGAGTGGGAGAGGATTATTTGGAAGTTGATAAGATTTCACCATTAATCACGCACAATTTTGATTTAGGTATTTTTGCAAATAAAATCTATAGATTTAGTCAATATGCTAATATTTGTAAAGAAGCATTATTTATGCAATAAAAGATTGTATGCATCGTGTAGGGTGCAATTTTCTCAACTATAAAACCTAGAATGTGTTAATATACAATACATGGATTAATAATTATCTTACTTGGGCTACGGCCCTGGTAAACCTGGCTGCAAATCCGCCCCTGAGTATAAAGAGGAAATTAAGGTCTACTTTTCTGTCTTCTAATTGGGCTATCTATTTTATTTAGTGTTGGACCGGTAGGCTAGTTTTATATTTATTGAAATTGACTAAATTATAAAACCCAGAATATGTTAATATACAATACATGGATTAATAATTATCTTACTTGGACTACGGCCCTGGTAAACCTGGCTGTAAATCCGCCCCTAAGTATAAAGAGAAAATTAAGGTCTCTCTCTCTTTCTCTCTCTCTTTTCAAAAGAACACTTGTTGTAAATCTTGAATCTCTCATTGGTAATAAAATGTCTCGTTTGCTTTCTTATTCGATTTTATATTGTATTACAAATGAAATGATTATTTGAGCTATTAGACTTATCATCATCTCGAGCTACATCATTTGTCATTTAGTCGAATCAATGAGCTATTAACTAACTCCTTTTAAGTAGTAAAAATGTGTCAATTTGAGTACAACTTTGGCCATAAATACATTAAGTTGTCAAATATTCATTATAAAATACACATATTTTGAGAGGACATTGATTTGGCATAGATTATAAGCATCATGTTTAGGTAAATCTTGTAGCATAGAGGCAGAACAAGATTTAAATAAAAAATAGAAAACTACTCCAGGAACGATCTATTCCAACTTTTATTGCATAAATACTTAACATTAATTTTATTAGCAAAAGTATAAGAAAGTTACATTATATTTGCATATACGGTTTAGAGTGAGAAGTGATTGCTGATTTCATTTATTATTATTTAATATGTACGTTGAGATAAATTAGGCAACATGCGGGTTGGGATCGTTACCAAAACCATCAATACTTTCTTATGCAGTTATCAATTCTCCTCTCTAATCACCTATTTCATCTCTTTACGTTGTCTCTATAATTAATTTTCTCTCGCCGGAATAAACTAGAACCCTAGCAGAAAAAAAAAACAAAACAAAACAAAATGCCAAAAAATAATATCCCTCTCAGGGTCGACGACAACCCTACTCGTGGTGGTGGAGAAGATCCAGTTCTCATCTTTGAAATATGAAAGCTAATGTCAACCGAAAGCTTGTTGAGAATAAGCTCCAATTTAGGCATCACGAAGCTGAGAATAAGCTTCGACCGGAGCCAAGTCCTGTCGTAAGGTGCTCAGGGCATCATGAAGCCGACGATTCGCCTCCTGGCTTGGACCGGTGCACATCAACGGCCTTATCTACAGGAGACAAGCGACGTTCTGAAGATCTTCCTCGAGAGCGTTATTTGCGATGTCATCACGTACACTGAGCATGCCTGAGTGTCTATTTCATGTATATTTTCTGTATATATTTTGTATATAATAACAAGATTGATTTATCTTGTGTTTTTATATTTATGTCCTCCGTATATAATGAGTATATTTTTTGTATATAAGTCTGATAATGTATGTTGTATGTATTAAAGAAGAAAATATTATACTATAAATATACAGACAAAACACGAGATGTAAATAATACAAAAAGTAAACAAAAAAGGATTACGAAATGATAAAATTACCCGGTTTATTTCGTATATTTTCTGGACTTATATATTTTCTGTATATATTATGTATATATTTTGTGTGAATGTGATTATGATTACTTGATGTTTTTTCATAATTTATTTTTTTTTTATTGGATTATAAACCTACTAGTACAACACCCGTGTATTACACGGGTGCTTGCTAATTTTTTTAAAAAAAATTTAAAATTAATGAGAAAAAGTAGTTTGAAAATTTAAATACCTTTTATAAGAATATATATTATTATATATTTATTATGATACTTTTATTTGTGCGACTTGTGTTATATTATACTAATTTTTTAACTTACAATATATAACTACATTAAATATAAATATATCAATTGAGAAATAATTTTATTTTTCTAATGAATTTTAATAAATATTATTATTTTTTATTATTATAAAGATAAATATAATTAATTATTTTATATATACAATATGGATGTCAAATCAAAGATCATCAAAAGATGATTAATTTGATACATTATATATGTAAAACCGTTAAGAAATACAAAAGTTATCTACTTTTTAAAATACATTTATAATTCAATAGCTTATTGAAAGGAAGCAAATCAAAATTTAGGGATATATTAGTCACTTAGTGCCTCACTATATAAAATTACAAGGAATTAAAGGGTTATATTAGTAAAACTGATATTAAAATACCTAAGTTGGCTAAGTAATATTTATGGAATACTCGAACCTAGATTATTAATTATTAATATATTAATATTATTTTTCCAAACCTAATTACGAAGCATGATTTTTCGCCAAATAGGATTCTGAAGCACCAGAAGCAGCCACGTAGGCTCAGCGCATTCGGGAATTATATATAGGGAGGATAATAAACTTGGAAAATTAAGGTAAAAATAATTCAAAATTTACTTAAAATTTAAAGGAATGAAATAAAGATAAGAGGGAGGTTTGTACCAAAAAGAATAAAAAAAATAAGAGAGAGGTAGAAAATAACGAGAAGACAGAGAAAAAAAAAAAGGGATGAATAGGGAGAGTGTAATTAAGGAGAATTTTTAAGAGTATATAAATGAGAAAGGAGAGAGAATGCCTTTAATATGTAGTATTTATTTAAATATTTTTGTTGTATTAAATAGATGTGCAAATAAATTTTTGGTTGGTATTTTTACAAATATTTAGCAATCGATTAAGTACATATATAAATTGCCCTACGGAATTTGTGTGCGGTTAAGACCCATATAAATGGGCCGGAAGAAGTGTTGGGTTAAAAACCAATGGCCGGATTGTGGAGTAAGAATAGTTAAATTAAATTTAAATTAAATTAAATTAAAAAAGAAATAAAGAACGAAAGAGAAAGAAAACAACAATATTCTCTGTCTTTTGCGTGGATTCCTTACCTTGAGGCATCAAACTTTCACCGCGGCCACTATTTGTAATCACTAAAAGTCGAAACGAAAGAGACGGTGAGTTCATAAAGTCGCCGGAGATTGATGGGCGGCCGCCTGTCAGTGGGAGAATGCGGCGGCCGGCTCCGCCGCCGGCCTCGCAACGGTCAACTTCACTCACCCACTTGATGTCATCCGAACACGATTCCAAGGTCTCTTTTCGTCTATTTTTCACTTAATGCCTGCAATTTCTCATAGGTGATGGTGAAATCTTGTTTTGGTGACCTCTTTTGTTTCGTCTTGCTAAAAATAGTTAATGATGGGAGATTGTCAGTTCTGCCAACGTATAAGAACCTTTCGCACGCTCTATTCACCATTGCTCGCACCGAGGTTTGTTTTATGAGAATATTGTTTCAAAAAGTTGCTTCCTTTGATGAGACTTTTAATCTTTCTTAGTATTTGGCTATCGAATCATGAATGATATTAGCATGGTGGAAGAAAGTGCAAACTGTTTTATGCATAATTGCTTGTGGAGTTTATTGGTAATTTTTTATACAAATTCGATGAACTGCTCTCTATGCTTGAGGTGTCTGTTTTTGGCGTGGCTAAGTATCAAAATAGTATATTATTTAAACCTTTTTAAATTCTGATCTCATTAACCCCGTAATGCTCCCCTACCCACGGTGGACATATGTTAATATGTCCACCGCTTATGTGGCATGCACACATTGGCATGAGGGGAGCATTTTCCCTCATTAACCTAGAAAAGATTAGTCTTTTTCAATCTTTTTGGTTTGTTGCTACAAATTTGTAGGATGCATCACAACCTGTTCTTCGTCTCTGATCATGTTTCTTATATAGTCATGGTTTGTTATTGGCAGATGTTTTACCAACCTGGTGATGTAGGGAAACGTACGAGTGAGACAATATTAATGATATCGCAATCTCAAGAACACCAACACGATATCAAATTTATTTCATTCAAAATCAACTGAGTAAATAAATTAGAGGGAGTCCTTTATATAAGGCCCCGTCATTTCTCCCGGTCGAACACGAAGGTTGAATATCGCTCAACCTCAAATAACAAATGGAGGATCAGATCTTTAGCCTCATAAAACATTTTTTGTTCTTCAAGGAACTTCAAACATGTTATCCAATTTATTATCTTATGACCTGTTATCCCTTTCTTTAACAAAACCTCTGGTGCGAAATAATCAAGTGTCCTCACTGTAGAATATGCCAATGAACAATGATTATGTTTCCACTGTTGTAGCGCAGTTTTTGTGCCCGAATGCCCGTGGTGCTCATTTTTAGAATACGGAGCAATAAAATCAGTAACCTCTAGTAACATGAATGAATATTTTTCCAGTGGCTTACACAAAAAAAAATCAGAAAGCATCACCTCGGGCCCCGGAGGCGCTTCATCGAAAATCGACGGACCGTCATATAATGGCCCGTCAAATTGCTCTCTGTCGAACTCGGGGATGTCGACGCAAAACAGGCCCTCCCAATGAACATATTCGCGATCAAGTCTCCAATCTCATCAGACACGATATCCGTCAGCGAAGGCTGCCTCCTCGCACCAGCCCATGTCGCTGTGTTGATCGTCGCCGTCCATGAAGCCGTTCAGAGGTGGCGGGGACCACTGCCGAGGCGCCCCGACATGGTTGCGTCCCCCACAACCGCTTCCGTCTCCCCCACGAAAGCCACAACCCACAACCCCATCGCAGTTCATTTGCAATTCCAAAATAACCATATTGTTAAGCATTAAATGCAAATTCTCGATCCCCGTTGAAAGACCGGCAAACCAATCTGTGAAACGCACGTCCAACTCTTGAAATAGTAGTTAATCTGTTGAAACCGATCGTTGAAGGTTGCATCACGTTGTTTGTTTGCAGTATCTTGTCGTCCCGACAATATCGCGAATCGTACTGACTGCTGATACCAACTGATGTAGGGAAGTGTACGAGTGGGAAGGATAAATGAGATACCCTCTCGATAAAACACACAATCAATTCATATATTCATTCAATAATCAACTATCTCATAACAAAGCAGAAGAGCCCTTTCAGCAGAAGAACCCTTTGAACCAAGTTTTTTTTGGAGACGTTGATTAATTTTTCTATCTTGGTCTCTATTTACTATTTTCTGTAGATCTTCTTAATACTTAAATTTGGTTTCTAACACAAAACTAATATTTGATGTGGATAACATACTTTCATCGCAAAAATGAAGTTTTGAAACAAAAGTTTAAGCATTAAAAAAGACATGGAAAATAGTAAATAGAGACCAAGATAGAAAAATTAATCTAACGTCGCCAAAAATCTTGGTTTCAAACACAACACCAACATTCAATGTGGATAACATAAAAAAAATAAAAAAAATAAAAAAATCCATGTTCTGAATTTTGGATGTCTAAAATTTTGATGGGATCTTGGACAACAACTCCTTACAACGTCTTTCTTTCTTTCTTTCTTTTTTTTTTCATTTTATGCTATGGTGATACTATAGTTTGAAAAATTTTGTGCTTTGACACTTTAGTTGGCTTCTCTCCTTTTGAGAGTGTTCTTCTCTCGATTTGAGAGTGTTATCTCCGTGGGGAGTGATCTTCTTTCAGTGTCGAAGGTCAGTCTGAGAGGGGAGGGATTGTTTCGCTCTTTTTTGTGATAGTTCAATATCATCGGATGGCGGAGGAAATAGGGCAAAGATTAGTGTTTGTCCCATTTTTGTTACGTTTTTTTGTTGTTATTTTTCATTTCTTTTTCCCTCATATTAGATCTTTTAGATAGTTTTTAGTTCGTTTTGAGGTTCATTCCGTGTTTTTTTTTTATTTTAGTCTTCTCTAGGTTTTTAGTTTGTTATTTTCCATTTTCTGCGTTTGTTTCGTCGTCGTTAGTATGCCAGTTGAAAGTCTCAGGAGGATAGAGTATAAATTTTTTACTTGCATACTCCTTCAATGGATGCGTTGAAAACATTATAAATCAATTGTTTAGCTCGCTCCAATGGTGTTGACTCGCGGTGATGATGAACCTAAATGATCGCGGACAGCGCGGTCGTCAACTGTGATAGACAGTGGATTTTAAATGACTCGGTTTGAGGAGTCATTTAAAATCCTTCAAAATAAGGACTAAAAAATATCTAGCGTGAATTTGAAATCCTCCAACTTCTATTACCATCCCAAACTTGCATGGGGATTTAAACTAGTAAATTTAAAATTTATAGATTCCAAATCACTCAATAAATCCTTCAATCCAAATGTAGACTTAAGGTTTAACTTGTAATTGAGATATAATGTTGCTATGTCCACCCTTAAAGTTTTTAATCACCTTTTTTTCCTTGTCCTCAACTTGAGATTCTTTTCTTGGCTGGCTCTGTGACTCGTAACCTTTAATATCACACTAAGAGCGGAGCTTTTATATATTTTTTTTCCTCCTCGTATTGAAGTCTACGTACAGTATCCGCTTTGTTTGCTTATTTCACAAATTATGTGAGCATTTTGTTTTTTTGTTCACTTAACTCAACCTTGATTAGATGGCTAATGAAACTCTTTCCCTATGATAAGGATGTCGGGTTGAAAGGACTCACGAGCAAGCGGCACATGAAAATAGTGATGAGATGGATGCGGGAGAGGCAAAAACTACCGCAAATATGCAACCATGTGGGGCCCAACAAGCAATTTCTGTATGCGACATGGTTCACAAAACCTGATGTGAAGCAAACAAGGCCCGGAACTGGACATGGACCAAGTTCTTGAACTCCAAAGTCATGAGCAATTGGCATATGTGTGTAGCCAAGAGAGTTGTTCAATGTGTGTGTGTCTGTGTATGTTTTCCTGTATTTAACTGATGAACTATTGTCTTGCAGGATGAACTATTCAGTTTTTCTCCTTTTATTTTCTAACTATATGCTCGAATCTATATAAATAATAAAATCAAGTTGAATAAAAATGAGTTGGTGGAAAATTGGGCAAGTTGGGAGTACATTTAAGTTATTAACGGATCTATTTAAGTCGTATTGAGATATTCTGATGTTAAAATATGCTATCAACTAATATGAATGATGATATGTAAAGTTGAGGAGTCCTACCACTTATGTCAACCAATTCAATCAAAAATACTCATTCTTAAATCCATTTTAGAGTAATTGTTTCTCAAACCCGTTTTGCAGTCGTATCAAACAATAATTGTTGACCAATCGGAAAATTTATTCTCAAACTAAAATGAATATTCTCAGAATATTTTATTTCACACCAACATTTACAAATTTTCAATGTAACTCATACATTTTACAACTTTACAAATTAGAGCATACTAATATTTTAAACCACATGGGGTGATGTTGCAGTTTATTTTTAATTCACTACTTATTCATATTCATTCTTTCAAATTCATTATTTATTGTATGTTCATTCTGTTAAGTCAAAATGGGGTTGCGCCCACATGCTTTGACAAACAACAAAGAAGAAAAAAAATGTTGAAGGTTTTTTTAAATTATGGTTGCTAAAACGTGGCCAGCCATTGTGGAAAAATTGTGCAATCAATCCTCTATAAATAGAGGAATTCTATGAACACCAAAAGCACAACAAAAAATACAACAACACAGAGATAAAGAGAGAAAAATAGAGGGAACACGAAGCGAAAGTTTTAGCTTCTGTGTGTATTTGTGTAGTGAGTTGTGAGTGATTTTGAGAGTGTTTTGTAAACACAAGTGTATTTCTTTTTTCTCAATAAAATATCTGCAGTAGTCCGGAGACGTAGGCATTATTGGCCGAACTCCGTTATCAATTTGTTTTGTTCAATTTTTAATTTTATTTCACTTTTATAGATCCGACTTCATGAAAATTTCATTGTATTTTTCCCAACAACTGGTATCAGTGCCAGATTGTTAATTCTGTAATTTTTTTGTGTGGGTTACTATTCTGTGAATTGTGAAAATCATGAATAGTATCAAATTTGTCGGCGCTACAAATTTATCTACCGACGTGTTCTGAAACACGATAGTTCACAAAAATTACAGAAATGATCCGGCAAAGAAGTCAGATCAGAGACGAAGTGATGGCTGCAGACGAAGGAAAAATAAAAATCGAAAAGTTCGACGATGCGGACTTTGGCTTTTGGAAGATGCAGATCGAGGATTATTTGTACCAAAAAAATATGTATCAACCACTCACGGGAAAGAAGCCAGAGGACATGAAGGAGGAAGAATGGAGTCTCCTTCATAGACAAGCCCTTGGTGCCATTCGGCTGACGTTATCCTGTAATGTTGCTTTTAACATTGCAAAAGAAAAGACGACAGCAGGCCTCATGAAGGCTCTTTCCAACATGTACGAGAAACCATCAGCCGCAAACAAAGTTCATTTGATGAGGCGATTGTTCAACCTGCGGATGACTGAAAGTGCTCCGGTGGCACATCATCTCAATGAGCTCAATACCGTTACAACCCAGTTGAGTTCGGTTGGGATCGAGTTCGATGATGTAGTACGGGCTTTAATACTTTTGTCTTCCCTACCAGAAAGTTGGAATGCTACGGTTACAGTTGTGAGTAGCTCATCGGGAAACAATAAGTTCAGATTTGATGATGTCCAAAATTTGGTTCTCAGTGAAGAGATCCAGCGGAGAGAGTCGAGTGAACCATCGACCTCTTCTGTATTGCATACAGAGTCAAGAGGAAGAAGTTCAACCAAAGAAAGCAGACATAACAAATCAAAGGGAAGAAGATCCAAGTCCAGAAATCATCGTAGTTCCCAAAACTCGAAGTTGATCGAGTGTTAGAATTGTGAGAAGACTGGGCACTATAGAAACCAGTGCAAGAGTGCACCGAAGAATCAGGAGGTCAAAGAATAGGCAAACGTTGCCTCAACCTCAGAGGGAGATATACTGATATGTTCTTTGGAGAACGGAGAAGAGTCTTGGGTGTTAAACTCTGGAGCATCCTTTCATGCTACCTCACAGAAGGAACTATTCGAGAATTATTTTCCTGGAAATCTTGGTAAAGTTTACCTTGGTAATGAGCAATCATGTGAGGTTATAGGAAAAGGTGCAATAAAAATCAAGCTGAGCGATTCTGTATGGAAATTAAAAAATGTTAGACATATTCCCTACCTGACGAAGAATTTGATCTCTGTGGCCAGCTAGCCAGTGAAGGCTACACGACAATCTTCCATGGTGATGATTGGAAGATTTCAAAGGGTGCAACGATAATTGCTCGAGGCAAAAAGAGTGGTACTCTTTACAAGACCACAGGAGCATGTCATCAGATTGCAGTTGCAACAAATGAAAGTCCCAATCTATGGCACCAAAGACTTGGGCATATGAGTGAAAAGGGGATGAAGATCATGCACTCAAAAGTAAAATTACAAGGCATTCAGTCAATAGAAATTGACATGTGTGAAGACTGTATACTTGGAAAGCAGAAGAGAGTCAGCTTTCAGACAAGTAGACAAACCCCAAAGAAGGAGACGCTTGAGCTCATCCACTCCGATGTTTGGGGTCCAACGATTTTCCCATCCGTTGGTGGAAAGCAATACTTCGTGACTTTTATCGATGATCACTCCAGAAAGGTATGGGTTTACTTTCTGAAACACAAGTCAGAAGTATTTGAAGCTTTCAAGATTTGGAAAGCTATGGTGGAAAATGAGACAGACTTGAAGATCAAGAAGCTCAGATCTGACAATGGTGGTGAATATGTAACCACAAGATTTAATAAGTTTTGCTATGAGCACGAGATCAGAATGGAGAGAATCGTGCCTGGTACGCCTCAACACAATAGTGCAGCTGAGCGTATGAATCGAACATTGACTGAAAGAGCCAGAAGTTTGCGTGTGCAGTCAGGCCTACCAAAGCAGTTCTGGGCAGAAGCAGTCAACACAGCAACTTACTTGATCAACTGAAGTCCATCGGTACCATTGGATCACAAGTTACCAGAAGAGGTATGGAGCAAAAAAGAAGTAAAACTCTCACATCTTAGAGTTTTTTGGTGCGTAGCATATGTGCACACCAGTGATCAAGGTAGAAACAAACTTGATTCAAAATTAAAGAAATGTACTTTCCTTGGTTATGGTGAAGATGAGTTTGGCTACTGCTTATGGGATGATGAAAACGAAAAGATGATCCGCAGCAGAGATGTCATCTTTAATGAAAGAGTGATGTACAAGGACCGACATAACACAAGTGCCAGCAACTCAGAAGCGAGTGGGCCAGTTTATGCAGAGGTAGAAGATATCCTAGACATTCCTATAGTAAGGAATCCTCGGCCAGAAGAATCAAATGAAGAAAGCGGTGAACAATCAGAACCTTCTACTCCAACTCCTGTATTAAGAAGGTCCTCTCGACCTCATGTGTTTAACAGGAGATACATGGACTACATGTTGTTGACTGATGGAGGAGAACCTGAAGATTATAAGGAGGCTTGCCAAACCCCAGATACGAAGCAAGTGGGAGCTTGCCATGAAGGATGAAATGAAGTCCTTGATCTCAAATCAGACATGAGAACTAGTCAAGTTACCTATTGGAAAGAAAGCACTTCACAACAAATGGGTGTATCAGGTGAAGGAAGACCATGATGGTTCCAGGAGATACAAAGCCCGACTGGTTGTCAAAGGATTTCAGCAGAAAGAAGGAGTTGACTATACTGAAATCTTTGCTCCAGTTGTAAAGCTCAATACTATTAGGACTGTGTTAAGTATTGTGGCTAGTGAAGAGCTCTACCTAGAGCAATTAGACGTGAAACTGCATTTCTTCACAGAGATCTAGAGAGGAGATCTATATGCACCAGTCTGAAGGTTTTTCAGACGGAAAGAATGATATAGTGTGTAGATTGAAAAAGAGCTTGTACGGCCTGAAACAAGCTCTAAGACAGTGGTATATGAAGTTTGAGAGCTTCATGCAGAAGGAAGGTTTCCAGAAGTGCAATGCTGACCACTGTTGTTTCTTCAAGAAATATGAGTCCACCTATATCATATTGCTACTTTATATCGATGACATGTTTGTAGCAGGATCAAATATGATAGACATCAGAAATTTAAAGATGCAGTTGTCAAAAGAATTTGACATGAAGGACTTAGGCCCAGCAAAGAAGATTCTTGGAATGCAAATCACGAGAGATAAGAAAAAGGGAGTTTTGCAGTTATCTCAGGAAGAGTACATCAACCGTATTTTGCAGAGATTTAACATGGAAAAGGCCAAAGCAGTCAGTACACCTTTGGCCAGCCATTTTCGTCTATCCAAGGATCAGTCACCTCAAACAAAGGAAGAAGAAGAGTTGATGGCTACGATTCCTTATGCTTCAGCCATTGGAAGTTTGATGTAAGCGATGGTCTGTATGAGGCCAGACATTGGCCATGCAGTGGGAGTTATGAGTAGGTTTATGTCAAAACCAGGAAAAACTCATTGGGAAGCAGTCAAATAGATTTTGAGATATCTACAGGGCACAACAAAAAAGTGTCTGTATTTTAGAAAAGGGGATCTAAAGTTACAAGACTACGTAGATGCAGACTTCGGAGGTGAAGTTGATCACCGAAGAAGCACCATCGGTTATGTTTTCACTGTCGGAGCTACAACTATTAGTTGGATGTCGCAGATACAAAATATTGTTGCTTTATCCACTACAGAGGCTGAGTATGTAACAATGACATAAGCCAGTAAAGAATTGATATGGCTTCAAGGTTTGTTAGTAGAGTTGGGTTTCACTCAAAAGGAGAGTGTCTTGCACAGTGACAGTCAAAGTGCAATACATCTGGCAAAGAACTCAGTGTTC